TAATTAAAAGTGAAAAACAACATAAAAAGGGTGAAACCATAAGTTAAGCCCCTGAACTAACCCTAAAATCGCTATTAAGCCCCTAGACTTTAATTGATGCAGTTAAACCCTTGAACTCTGGGATCAAAGCAATTAAGCCCCTAAAGTTTTCGTGGTTTATTTTGGGTGGAAGTTTAGAGTTGTTTCTTTTGAGTTTTGAGGATATTTGTTTGGGATTGGAATTTGAAGTCGAAATTTAATTTTAAAAAGTACCAAAATTTTTTAGGGTATAACTTATCCTCGATCTCCATAAACTCCCGATCCATGGTTTTGGGTATAACTTCTGGTACCTTCTAGTTCGTATACCCATGTCCAGGTTTAGCATCCATTCAATGGATCTATCAACAGATTCAAATGATATAAAACCTAATTCGATTTTGATTTTGCAAAAGTAGTAGGTTTAGGGTTTCAAATTTGAAAAGCAAATGAAAAGAGAAACGAAGAACATTGCATTTTTGGCAAACTCGACTGAAACAAAAAAAAAGGAGAAAACAATTTTTCATGTGAGCCCCACTAAAAGGAGAAGCTAAAAAGGGGGAAACAATTTGATGAGTAAAAAACATGCGTAAAAAACATGCCATTGGGTGAAATTTTTTTCTCTGGATTTACACACCATTAAAATTCAAAAAATTCAATGATTTTGTGGTATTTTAAGGTGTCATTTGTCTTTTTAATTGACGGAAGAACCATTCTGGTACTGAAAATAAAAATTTAAAGATAATTTTAATATTTTTTAAAATTAAGGGATAATTTTATTACTAAAACGAAAAATTGAGGGATCAAAATGATATTTAAATCGAACAAAAGCAGAGTCGAAAAAAGGAGAACAGAAAAGAATGGGATGACAGTAAAAGGAGAAAGAAGCAATGATGAAAGACCTGTGTAAAGCAGAAAAGGTGAAAGCTTGAAACACATTCCCCTAAATTCCAGCTAAAGAAAAGAAGAAGGAATGGTTTAATAAGTAAATAGCCATTTTGCCTCTCACCATCTAATGCAGGAGGGAAGTTACAGAAGGAAATTGAAGGGTGTTGGGATTAGGCCCAACGCCCTCTTAGGGCCACATGCAGCAGGCTCAACTACGCACCCACAGGCCCAAGAGGAGGAGACATACCCATGTGGGCAGCACCACGTGGGCCAATGAGAGGCTTACATGTGCAGATACATATCAGCACTTGGGGCTATAAATACCCCCCAACCACCTCCGAAGAAGGTAATTAATCTCTACGCTTCTCTCTCTGCAATTACTCCTTGAGAGCATCTCTCTCTCTCTAGAATATTGAGTATTGCTGACTTGAGCGTTGGAGTGTTTTCCCCGAGGAAGCATCCTCGGGATTTTCAGGTGTAGAAGCAGCTGAAGACTTCAACAATGTTGGATTGTGAAGCTGCCGAAACATTGGCGCCGTCTGTGGGAACTCGAACAAAAAGTTTTATTTCTATGTTGATCCGGTTGTTCAGAGGGAGGAGAAGATGTGTGAAAGGCTCGTGGCTTATTCTCGTCAGTTGCAGATAGTTGCAGAAGTCGATCTGGTGAATTTACAAAATGGTTTTATTCATCTATGAAAAAGAGAAGCTTCACCTGCAAAAAGAGAAGTTTTCACAAGAAGACAAACAAGGGGTTAGCTTTACACAACTATCGAGGT